TTTTTTTTTTTTTTTTTTTTTTTTTTTTTTTTTTTTTTTTTTTTTTTTTTTTTTTTTTTTTTTTTTTTTTTCTTCTTCTTCTTCATATAACTCCCATTCTGTTTTAAATGCATATCTCCCACAGTGAATGTTTTGACCGATTTGAGGGGAGAACTTTTTGGGCTTTCACAAAGTTACGTTTGCTAGAAAGAAGTTTCCACACTCCTACGGTCAATGTTTTGTTCCCCTCTAACCGATTTGAGATCTCACAATTCACCCTCTTAAGGGTTAGCATCTTTTATGACACATAGCCCGACTTTGATACCATTTGTAATAGCTCAAGCCCATTCGTAGATATTGTTCTCTTTGAGTTTTGTAACAGCCCAAGCCCAAGCCCACTAGTAGATATTGTTTCTCTTTGGGTTTTTTGCTTTCCCTTTCCTGCCAAAGTGAAATTCATCCTTTGTTTTTTCCTTTCCATTCACTAGGAACTCTTCCGTTTCACCGATTTTGTCTAGATCCTCCTTTTCTTCCGAAAAAAGAGAAGTAGAAGTATCTTATTCGGTGGATCCCTCTTGTTCCTGTTTAGACCCCTCCGTTTCTTTCAACGTCTTCTATGACACATAGCCCACAGGTAGATATTGTTCTCTCTCTGGATTTTTGGCTTCCCTTCTCCTCTCCAACTAAAAAGTATTCATTCTAAAAAATTATAAATATATAATTATAGAAAAATTAATCAATTCATTCATACAAATTTGTTTAGATTAATACTCTTAAGACTAATAAGTAGAGTATTTGTTAATGATTTAGAGGTAGTTTGACTCGATTTAAAAGTAATTCAAAACATTACTATCTATTTGCATATTTAAGAATATGTTAAAATAAATATTAATTAAAATTTTGTATAATTTGAAAAACAATCCCTCAATTTGGCTTTGGTCTGAAGCGAGCCTCAAAATCAGGCACCAAACCAGCGCAACCAACGCGAGCCATTTGGGAAGCCTCATTTGCTTGCACTTCCGGGCTCCAACCAACCAACAAACCAACCATCGTACTAATAATTAAAACAGACTACATTTGATCATATTGGTTTGATGATCCGTCAATTGCAAGACTTAACCTTAATCACCTTGCTTAAGTCATTTAATCTCCAAAGTAAAGCAACCGTAATTACTTTTAATGTAACATTACCGTAAATCCCAATTCATTTCTTCCCATTTTCACCCATCAATTCAAATTCCGGGACCAGAGAGCCACACTTTCAAACCCCATTAATGGAGAAATAGGCTCTTCATGAGTTGAAGCAAGTTTTAATAATCATTTCATCCTCCACTACACGCATATAAACTACAAACTTATCATGCTTCTTCTTCTAACTTCCCCCAAATGGACTTGATTTTCACCCACCAAGAAGAGAGACAACCTGTTCCAATTACCAATCATTCGCTTAACCGCAGTGGCTCCGATCGTTTCAACCCATTCTTAACTCTGAGCTGCTGGGTTTCCAAATCTTCTCAAAAACTGCGTCATAGAGCTCGATTTTCGACTGGGTTTTGCTGCGGAGGGATGGAGTATAAGGGAATGGTGGTGAATAACTCTACGTTTTGTTCTTCCCCTGTTTTTCTTGAAGAAGTTGCGATCGAAACTGGAGAGAAATGCGATGGGTTTGGTGATGCACGTAAGGTGTTTGATGAAAAGACTGGGGTTGGGGAAAGTAGTTTAAGTGATTCCAGTTCTGATTTGTTGTCATCGGAAGCAACAGGGCATGAAGGGCAGAGCCATGAGGAAGAGTCATCGTCGTCTTCTTCGTCGACTTTAATGGGGTGGCCGCTTCACCGGACGGCGGCTGAAGAGCGCAATTTTGACGGCCGACAACTGGAAACACAAGTGTCACCAGTGTCAGGTATGTCTCTATTTACATCCAAATTTACAAGTAGTAAAACATTTGAAAAAACTTGTAATTGTGGGAAAATAAGAAGCAAAAGATGAATTTTGTTGAATTTGATGTGTTGTGGGGTTGCAGAGACAGAGATGATGAAGGAGAGGTTTGCAAAGCTGCTACTGGGAGAAGACATGTCAGGGTGTGGCAATGGAGTCTCTACTGCTTTGGCCATATCTAATGCCATCACCAATCTCTGTGGTATGCCCTCTCTTCACAAATTTTCATTACTTTTATACAAAGCTCTCATGCTTTGGTCCTCCAACATGAACTTGCAGCCACTCTATTCGGACAACTATGGAGATTACAACCTTTAGCCTCTCACATAAAAGCAATGTGGCAAAGAGAAATGGAATTGCTGCTCTCTGTTACCAACCACATCGTCCAACTGATACCCGTTTCCCAAACATTCCCAGATGGAACCAAACTCGAGGTCCAAATTCAATACACATTTCTTAATCATCTCTTTTCCCAAATCCCATCATGATCTTCCTTCTTTGGCTCATCAGATAATGACTTCCCGCCCTCGTTCAGATCTTTACGTCAGTCTCCCAGCTCTTCGTAAGCTAGATCACATGCTGCTCGTAAGTGCTACGTATTGATCTTTGTATGTAAATTTGTTAGATGATGAAAGTCCCACATCTGCTAATTTAGAAAATGATCATGAGTTTATAATCAACGAATACTCTCTCCATTGGTATGAAGCCTTTTGAGAAGCACAAAACAAAGCTACGAGAACTTATGCTCAAAGTGGACAATATCATACCATTGTGGAGAGTCGTGTTCGTCTAACGTGTTATCAGAGCCATGCCCTAAATTTAGTCGTGCCAATAGATTGGTAAATCCTCAAATGTCGAACAAAGTACTCCAAAAGGAAAGGAGTCGAGCCTCCTCGAAGGCAGTAAAAAATGACTAAGGCTCCAAAAGAGTCGAGCCTTGATTAAGGGGAGTTGTACTTTATTCGAAGGGAGGTCTTGGATGATGAAAGTCACACATCGACTTTACTCTTTCCATTGGTACGAGGTCTTTTGGGGGAGCTGAAAGCAAAGCCACGAGAGTTTATGTTTAAAGTGGACGATATCATACCACTGTGTGGAGACTCGTGTTCGTCTAACAAATTTAAATATGGTGTGATTTTGCAGGATATATTGGATAGTTTCGTTGATTCTGCGTTCTGGTATGTTGATCAAGGGATTCTTGCCGCCGCCGACGCCGATAGGTCTTCCTCGCGGCAAGAGGACAAGTGGTGGCTTCCGATCCCCAGAGTCCCGAGTGGATCAGGCCTCTCCGAAGCTGCAAGAAGGCAGCTGCAGCACAAGCGCGACAGCACTAACCAAATTCTCAAAGCTGTCATGGCTATCAACTCCCTTACTCTGGCCGACATGGATGTCCCTGCTTCATATCTGGAGGCACTTCCAAAAGTAAGTCAATTTTAAGTTTACAATCGCTTCCCTTTCTGGGTTGAGTCTCAATTTAAGCATTAATCAATTTCAGAATGGACGAGGCAGCTTAGGAGAAGAAATTTACAGGTACATTTCGTCGGACGAATTTTCCCCTGTTTACGTATTGGAATGTCTAGATATCTCCTCCGAACACCAAGCCGTGGAGATAGCCAACCGAGTGGAAGCCGCAATGTACGCATGGCGGAATTCATCACGTTCCACTTCAAAATCGTCGTGGGAAATGCTGAAAGAATTGGTAGTGGATGCAGAGAAGAGCCAAGTATTTGCAGAGAGAGCAGAGTCCTTACTCTTGTGCCTCAAACAACAGTTCCCCAATCTCCCTCAAACCAGCTTAGACATGAGTAAAATCCAATTCAACAAGGTCCAAGTATCTCAATTTCCCACTTCAAATCTTCTACGAACACGATCTGAGTTGGGTTGGTTTTGTTCAGGATGTGGGGAAGGCCATTTTGGAGAGCTACTCACGAGTGCTGGAGAGCTTGGCGTTCAACATTGTGGCTCGTATTGATGATTTGGTTTATGTGGATGATCTGACGAAGCATTCCGACCAAATTCCGGGGATTTCCCAACTGGGAATTAGTGGCCGGATTCAATTCCCGGTGCCATTTTCCAGCTCCCCGTTCACCAAACCCAGCTTTTCGGCTGTGGATCTTGTTACCCTTGCGAAGGGAGGAACACGATCGCCGATTCACAAAGATATGGTTCAACAACCAGAAAAATGTAAGTAGAACATAGGACAAGATTATTAAATTTAAAGATTGTTGGTGTTGGTGGTGCAAATATGTAACATAATCTTTAATTGTATTACAAGGGTTGAAGCCAAAATAGAGTTCTTATTTTGTTGACTTCCACTGTTCTAGGTTCACTTCTCGAGCTTCTTTCCAAACATCATCTCAACTCATATTCAATGTAGCCCACACCTCGTCCTAACCCTACTTAGCTTTTCATGTCATCCAATCTCCGTCATTCCAATTTAGCTCACCTCTAACCACCTCGCCTTTATAACTTAGGGACAAATCTCATTCCCCCAATAGGAATTAAGGAGTCGGTGAATAAATGAAAGTTGAGGATTTTTGCAAGAAAACGGGAGGCGTTGGTGATTTTTCCACCAAATTCAGGGATTTTGCCCTCCATCTAAAAGGTTGTTGTATTATAGTGGTGAGTATCCTCACCGGACACGTGAGAGACCTGAGTTCAAACCCCCAGTGATAATCTTTTTTTTTTTTTTTTTTT